CCCCCCAGCGTCTCCACGGACTCGTTGGAGCCGTTTCACCCCTCCCCTGATTCGGGACAGGACCAGGTATCCCACACCCTCAGCTATGCAGGTGCATCCTCAGGAGGCCCTCATGGTGCCCTGGCCTCTGTTCCCAAGCCCCTGGGGCTGTCCCCTCTCTTCCCCTCATCATCCTCAGCTTTCCCGTACCTGCGCCTTTACCACCCACCCCTTGCAGCCAGCTTCTCTCCCTCCTGACGCCCCTCCTGCATGGGGGGGACCTGCATCAGGGTGTCCCTCCCTCCCCAGGCTCCAAGGTCCCCATAAGGCCAGGAGCGGGGACACGGACAGAGCAGAGGGCAGGGGGCTCATTAATCACCATTTTATTTTATTGAGTGCTGTCTCCCCCCCCCCCCGGTGCTCCCAGCGCCCCTCTGCTGACCTGCCTCAGACCCCAGGCTCAGTGGCACAGGGGGAGACGGCCAAATAAGTTACCCGCGTGTCCCGTGCTTGTGCTGCCCGGCACTGCGGCAGGCCCGGCTCGGCCCCGGAGCGCCGGCCCTGCCCGCGCCCAGCGCAACCCCACGTGCCCTGCACCAGGGTAGAATGTGTCGCAGCTCCGAGTCCTCGCATAGGGGCCCTGCCCGCTCCTGGCTCTTCCCATGCTCCTGGGGCTTCAGCAGGGCATGGCAGCCTCCGATGGCAGTGGAGAGCACCTGTGGGGAAAACGGGACAAAACAGCAGCTTGTCACTCCCAGGGGTGGCATCTGTCCATCTAGCCAGAGCTGCCTCGCAGAAGAGCTGGAGCCACAGGGATGGCCAGCAGCTGTGACCAGGATGGTGTGATTCATAGGGCATGGCAGAGCTCGGGAGGCAGCTTGCAACTTGTGTGCCCCAACAGCAAAAACCCAGTACCAACCTGCAAGGTCCTGGGATCACCGTCCAAGCATGGGCAGGAGCAAAGCTGCAAGAGGAGCAGCAGCCCTGGTGCCTCCCAGGGGGCTAAGGGAGCAGCGAGGCCCTGGGACCCATCACAGCCACAGCTCCAGGTGAGAAGCCTGGGCAGATGTGATATCCTGCTCCTCACCCAGGGCACAGCCCCCATCAGACCCCCTTGCAACACCCCTCACCAGCCCCTGCTCATTCTGCAGAGCCAAAAAGGGAACAGAAAGAGGCAGGATGTCCAGCCCGCTGGCAGGGGCCAGGCAATACTCACTCCATCTTGGCCTCCAGGTGGTGGATGGTCTGCTTGTCCAGGTAGCGGCAGAAGAGCGAGAGAAGGTTGCTGGGCAAGAAGAGAGGCTCCACGAGGGAGGTCTTGGGTACTTGAGAGAGTTCCCGAGCAACCAGGAACACAGTGTCAGTCCTGGGGACACAAGTGCTGTAGTGAGCATGACCCCCCGCGCCAGGCAGCGACGCCCTGTCCCGCCAGGATGGGTCCTCACCACTTCTCGAAGTCCCCCGTGTGCGGCTCCAGCGGCGTGTCGGAGGACAGCAGCTTCTCGCCGTGACTCAGCAGGGCGTAGAGCAGAGAGATCCCAAACTGCAGGGAACAAGGAGGAGCACCCTATCACCACGGTGTCCCCACAGGGCTCGGGATCCTAAGTGGATCTGCTCTCCTCGGGGCTGTGTACCTGGTTCTTCAGGGCCAAGGTGAGCGGGAGCTCGGCGGACTCGGGGAGAGGCCTGGTCATCTCCTGCAGCACCTCGATGAGCTTGCTGAAGGTCGTCCTGCCCACCAGCTCATTGAGAGGGCCGTAGAGCAGGGGGAGAGACTGGGCAGGGCAGAGGGGAGAACAAGGATCTGAGACCCTTTGACCCATCACAGCCACAGCCCCAGTCTCGAGCCCCATCCCAGCACCTGCACAGGGACGTGCAGGACCAGAAGGGCTCTCCCTTGACGGAGAACCGCAGTCAGGACTGCTTTATTTAATCCCTCCTGGGGACCTTTCCTCTCCTCCCCAGAGGAGGAGTGAGGCCAAGAGCCTGCCCTCTGCATCCAGAGCCTCTTCTCCCCTGCTCCCCAAGCCACCTGGGCTTCCTGGGACTCAGCAATAGGGTGCTCCAAGGAAGAGCAAGGTGAGGAGGCTGCAGCCTTGGATTCCCCCCTGCCCTGGCTTGAGATGCTCGCCTCGTCCAGCACGTCCTTCTTCATGAGGAAGGGCAGGTGGTGGGTGATGGTCAGCAGGATCTTCTCTGCCTGCTCCTCGGCCAGGTGGGGCAGCAGCCGAGCTGTCAGCTTCTTGCCCTTCCGAACACACAGGACTTGTAGGAACTCGTCCTCTGCCTCCCTGGGGAGGAAGGCTCTGTTCATATAGGCCCTGGGGACCCGGAACCCCACCCCCCGGCTTAGGAGAGGGACCAAAACCAAGGAAGAAATCCAGCCCCACCCCAGTCCCCAGAAATTCCCATCCACCCACAACGGGTGGCCCATGCCAGTCAGAGCCCTGCACGGGTCAGGAAGTGCCACCCACTCCCTGCACTGCGACACAACTCACTCTTCACTGCTGCAGGCCTTGATTTTCAGGGTCTGGTAGATGCGGTCCACTTCTTGGCTCTTCTGCTCCTCAAAGCAGGGCTGCTGCTCCTCCGAGGCCAGAGACATCTTCCGCTGCATCTCCTCTACTTCCAGCAGCTGCAGGAACATCTGGAGAAACAGCACAAGCTAAAGGAGCAGCTTGGAGCATCCTCCTGTCCCCGTGTGTCTGGAGACATGGCTGTGGCAGAGAGCAAGGATCAGCCTCATCCTGCCCTGGCCCTGCTGTTGTGCAGGCCTCGACAAGGCCTCTGCCCGCTCACCCTCTCAATCCTGTTCAGTGCTCGAAGACGGTGGCTCCCCGCAGCCTTCAGGAGGGGAGAAAGAAAGGCACAGTTAGAGCCAGCACCAGACAGCGCCGTCAGCAGGGCGCTGACCCAGCTGCTCCCTGGGGACCAGACGTGGCTTCAGGACACACAGCAACCCCACAGAGGAGACCACGGCCAGGTCAGACCGCCCAGAGCCCCTTCTCTCAGCGTGGGACACACTGGGGACCTGTCACCCACCTAGGTGTCACCCAGTCCACCTGCACGCCCATCCCATGCTAAGGGCAGTGTGGAAAGCCAGGGCAGCATCCAGCACGAGCGTAGCACCCCAAGCTCCTGCAGCTCCTGCCAAGCTGCTCCAGGGTCTAGGGAGAGCCTGGAGCTGTGGCCCCAGGCATCCCTGGCACCCACAGCCCCCCACATACCTCCTCCACGAGGGCATGGTGCACAGCATCGATGGCGCGGCGAGGGCTGTAGCAGGTGGACACAGCGACCTGGCCCAGCGAGCCTGCAATGCGCACCACTGTGGGAGAGGTGGGCAGGCTGAGCGCGTGCCCCGCACGCCCCACGGCGCCCGCCCGCTCCCCCAGCCCCTCACCCGAGTCGTAGGTCTCCACTTTTTGGATAAACGGCGTGACCAGCTTGGGGGGCTCCTGCTTGTTGCGTCCTCCGAGCAGCTCCTCCTCTGCCTGCTTGTGCTCCAGCCGGTGGTAATAGGTCTGCAAGGAGGGGCAGAAAGGCAGGAGGAAAGGGCAGAGGGAGCTGGCGGGGCACCTCGCTGTGTCCCTGGGGTTGCACCGCTCCGGATGCTCCAAGGCCGCTTGCGGATGGGCCTCAGCAGCAGCAGCCCGGGCACTCTCTGGATGCCAGAGCTGGGAAGCGCCAACCGCAAAGACCCAGCACAGCACAGAACCCTGGGAAGCTTGGACTTGCCCCGGAGGAGCTTTTGGCTAAGGCCAGCTGGTGTCACCCCCTCTCTCCACCCTCTCACCTGGTAGTAGTAGTCATCATCCATGTTCTCGCTCTGGAGCTGGATCATCTGCACCTTGATGACCCAGTCCTTTTCCTTGCTTGTCATGAGCCCACCGTAAGGGTCTACTTTAGGAGCCCACAGCTTCTTGGGGGAGACACTGTCACAGAAGAGATGGCACCCGGGCGTTACAGCACAGAGCCTCAGCAGCACCCCCTGCTCCGGGGACCCGGGACCCCCTCACCTCTGCGCCTGCCCGCCCTGCTGCTGCCGCTGTGTCAGGATCCGCTGGTGCTGGGGGTGCAGCTGCGTCATGTGGCTGGGCGCGCTGCAAAGGAGGCCAGACGAGGGCTGAGGACAGGGCAAACACGGCGCTGGCTCCAGGGCCTCTCTGCAGGCCCAGCACCTGCCCCCCAGGAGCCGTCCCCAGGGAACGGCCAGCCTTCCGGGTGAGGCTGAAGCAACCCTCCTCCTCCTCCTGCTGCTCGCCTTTCTGCTACCTGAGGTTCAGCTGGCCGCTGGCTGATGGGCTGAAGAAGAGAGAGGCATCCAGCGACGGGGACATGGGGCCAAAGTGCATGGTGAGAGGCCGTGGCGCGGTGCCGAGGTTGGGCGACACGGGCCTGAAAGGCGCTGGAGATGCAAACCCCGTGGCCTGCAAGAGAGCGGCATGGGGGGTCCCGGCCCTGTTCCTGCCGGTGTCCCCCAGCACCCAAAGCTGGCGTCCTGCTGGGTGCACTGAGCAGTGGCCACGAAGCTTGAGGGACTGCGTTGCCCCAGCTCCGTTCCTAATGTTCATGCGGCAACACCAAGCACAGCACTGAGCCCAACACCCACAGGTCGGGACACCCAGAGTAGAGACAGCCGCAGAGCAACAGCTACACAGGTGACTCCGCTTTCCCCATCAAGACAACCACTGAGAAGGGTGTGTGGGGCAGGTGACCAGCTGTGCACAGCCCCGAGCTTTACCTGGTTGGAAGCCAAGAGAGAAGATGGCCGGCGAGGCGGCGTGAAGGGCCGAGCCACGAGAGGAGGCTGCTGCGGGCAGGAGAGCAGAGCGCTTACTGGCCACGCTTGCCCGGAGGGCCAGCCTGCTCCTCTCTTGGGAACGGTCGCGGCAGGGAGGGAGCAGGAGCCCTTCCCTGGACACCGAGATGGGCAGAGCGCAGTTACCTGCCGGAGGAAGCGCTGGGGGAAGGACTTGGGGGACATCACTCGGAAGTTGGGGCGCTTGAGCCTAGGCGAGCCCGCGAAGCCCCTCTGCACGGGGGAGCCCAGGAAGTCGAGGGCCACGTTGGCGGCAGGAGGAGGCCGCTCCAGGACCTGCAGGATGGCTTTGTCCTGTGGGAGAGGCCACGGGAGATGGGGGCAGGAGCCAGGGCAGCGCGGGAGGCCCTGGAGCTGCCCTGCACACGCAGCAGCTCCACCCTGAGCTTTGGGCCCACTTGGGACCCAAACCTCGGCCACGG